ACTAGTTAAATTAATAAACAAACTGTAATTAAGTTGGATAACATAGTAAATAATTATCGAATCGAAAACATAATTCGCAGTTTGATTGGTTGAGTAAGTGAGTGGAGTAAAAGTTTCTAAATATTATTTCATTGAACTTGTTATAATCTATTAGGAGCAGTTTATTATCGTTGGTTAATTGATTTTTTGAGTTTATTTCAATTTTTTTTTATCTTTTTTCTTAAATTATATAGTAATTTATTTATTTTTTAAAATATATAACTGTCTTATTTAATTAAAATTTGAATAAATCTTAATCCTGAATAAGTCATTTACTCAAGTAAATAACTAATTTATTTTAGGGTTTTTTTTTGCAGTCAATGCAGATAAATTATCTATATTGAGCCCAAAATGACATCGTTTTGCGGCAAAAATCAAGGTACTTTTGTAATTATAATTTATTTCAAGATTATAATAGTATTTCTCATTATAATTTTTTATTTTTTTTTCACAAAAATGATATTATTTTGAAAGTGAATATAGACAACTTATCTACATTCACTGTTAAAAACATTACAGCCTTTATTTTAATAAGTTCCGGTTAAATTTTAGTGAAATAAATGAGTGTGAGAAATACGCAAAAATGATATGCACAATATAAGTATGACAAGGAGTATAGTTTTAAAAATATGCACAATGAGCGTTATATAAGTATAGTTTTACAAATTTTGGGAAGGAAATTGTAAAACAAAAACACGTACATAAAGAAGATTAAAAACTATATAAATATAGATTACCAAAAAAAAGCTATATAAATATTAATTTATATATAAATTTACTTAAATTTATTCATACATTGTGCAACTAGACTATGTAGTATGTACTAGCAAATCAAGGCACACTGATAAGTTTTGAGCTTCTGACCATATGTTTTCCATTCCCAATAGATCGAAATGCTATACAGCTATTTTTTTTCCCCTTCCAAAACAAAAAAACACTTCTACATTTTTTTTTTCTGGGATAAGAACTTTATAATTGCTCAACTTCTCCATATATTGGGATGATGATCTACTCATTACATCTTTTTATAGCTAATACCCGAGTCAAATAATTGCTTGTCATTGCCACGTGAAAAGAGTAGAACTAATTAAAATCTGTATCCATATAATATCTTGACCTATTATGATGTCGTACATGAGAAGAATACACCGAATGCGCGTTAAAAATATGCACAATGAGTGTGAGAAGTGCTAGTGTTAAATTTAAAAATAAAAAATAAAAAATAAAAGGTTGTGGGAATATAAAAAATTTTCTTGTTTCAAAAAAATAATTAGGATTGATATATACAAAAAAGTATACAATGATATGATATTTCTATGTCTATTTTTTATTTTATTTTTTTGTAAAATTTAACTTGTAATGTTAATGAAAAGAAAATTCATTAATAATCTTATAAATAAGTTGGACCGTTATCGTATTTGAAATAAATTACAAGAGAGTTATATGAGCATGATACGCTCACGATTATGGACCCATCAATGATTAATTTAAATTGAAGTAAACTAGTTTTATTTTTCTGATTTAGTTAATTGATTCAAAATTCAAAACCGGATTATTGATTAATCACAATCATGACATAATTAATCACTGTTCATATGTGGGTCATTGAGCATACATAAAATACTCATCCATTTCACGAGCTTAATTTTTTCACTATTGCTCGTATAAGGATGAAGTTTTGAAAAGCCCACGCGACCCCAATTTTTCAACATGGCCTGACAACACTGACGGCACCGCACGTGACACCAATATTCCCTTTCCCTTTACCTCAATTTTCTAAAAGCTCATTCTGCCTTTTTTTTTTTATCCTTTTAAATCATGGCTACAATAACAATTTGCAATGATAACGCGGTGATGGCCATCAAGAATAGGAGCAGCTTGATTCAGTTCAGTACTTCCTTTGTCCCAAAGACCAACTGAATAATAGAAAAACAATTTTTTGTTTGTTAATTTTTCTGTTAAAGGTTATTTACCGTTAGTGGTCATTAAATTGTTTGAGTCTATGAAGCACCGATACTTTAAAAATTTTGATGTGTCGTGTCCGACACTAATCAACATTCCGACACTTTTCGACACTTCAATACTCGTTGCAAAGACTAAAAAAAGTTCAAAGATTACGTTGCGTTGTATTTTGAGTTCCAACTATTAGATTTGTTAAATTACGATTACGTTTTATTGAGTTTAATATAAATATTTGGGATATATTATGTTTCTTTGCAAAATTGATGGGTTATAAGTTTAACTTTATTTTTTTGTTAAATTATTGAATACTAAAGTGTTAGGAGTGTGTGTAGTGTAGGGTGTTGTGTTCAATTCCTTGTAATCTCCAAAAAAATAAAATATAATATACATTACATAAATTAAAAATATTATATAATATCAAAACGTGTTCTAACATGTCAAAATTTAATATTTTTTAAAATTAACATGTCAGAATATCATGTCGTATCGTATCCCGTGTTGATGTCGGTGGAAGATAAGTTTGAGCACCATCCAGCATCCTGTGTTAAAAGGAGAAGCATTTCAGTTCACAATTCCGATTGTGGCGTGCATTCTATGCTTAAATAGCTCCTAAATTCCTAAATCAGATTCCAGCAGTGAGCAGCGCCGTCCTCCAATTATGGGAAAAAATTTCAATAACACTCCCAAAAGAAGTGCACCGCGTTAGCTTATGTTGTACTGATTACAAAATCACTTTTTAATTTACACTAAAATATATTGCCGCACTCTATTTTCAATATCACCGTCGTACCAAAAATACATTCGGAATTATGGCTTTCAAATGTTTATTTACTTTAATTTGTTGTCTTTAGTTAAAAATGAGAGCACTCATATATTTAAAATCACAAAAGATAAGCGTAATTAATTTAAAAGAAAATTTAAAATAAGAGAAGTTAAAAACTACTTATATCATTTCTTTCAGAAAATAAACTAAAAAAGTAAATCACTCCTAAAAAAGTGTAGTATATTTTGATATATATATATATTGAATATTTGATATTTCAAATAAAAAAGGAATTTTTTTAATATTGATCATTTATGTTAGTTATTCTTTAAAAAACTATCAATTATTTCATGTATTTTACGGCGTTTTTTGGTTACATTTTTTATTTTTTTTCTACCATTGTAAGGGAATTTTAAATTTAGGTAAAACTTAATAATTAAAATATATTTAAAATTGTAAGATGTTATGTATGATTAATTCAGGTAAAAAAATGAATTAAAATGGAAAAATCAAAATTACACAAACGACAAGCTTAATTACCTTTAAAAATTATTTTAAAAATAAATATAATAATGATATGCCATTTAAAAAAATTATACGATAAAATACGGAATTACTCTTAAGGTAATATAATCTAATTTAATATAAAAAAATGAGTGAAGTAGTAAATATTTTTAAAAATTTAACGTACAAAAGTAAATCTAAAAAGATTAACCTAACAGTATTAACAATTAAGGTTTAAAAAGGAAAAAAAGTTGACGTAAAAAATTAAAATTAATTTTTTTAGAACATAAAAATTCAAATATGAGAGAAAGGAACATTTTTAATATAACAAATAATTAATAATTTAAATTTTTTTAATTTTTAAAAAAAGTTAAACAATAAATATTATCGAGATTGAGTATTTTATTTTAGTATATAAGAATGAATAAATATAATAATATTCCGAAAACAGAGTAATAATTAAATGATAAAAAATGTACAACAGTACAAGGGAGCGATTGGGAATCTCAACAAAAATTTGGGACGGGAGTTTACGCGTAAAGGAAGATGACGCGGCTTGACCGTCAACAATCTCTAAACTTACTTATCCCACGCCATTTTCAGTTTTTCATTCACCGCTACTGAGTCCTGACTGCTGAGCATCCGTTCTCTATATTATATGTTCAATTGTACTGAGAATTGCTTCTTCTATTTTTAAATAGTACTTTTCAAGACAAATATGTCATTAAAATTATTTTATATTTTTGCTTTGCACTTCTGAAAATTAATACTACACCAAGGGGACGCAAAATGCATCGACAAGACATGGCCACGAATACGAAATCCCTCAATCCGTATATGATATATTTTTGTTGACGGGTCGAAAATTTAAATTTGGACATGATTAATTGCGGGTCGTAGGTCGATATAAAATGACATAAAAAAATTGACATACATGTTCATTTGTGGACACATCATAATACGAATTGACACGACACAATATAACGAATATGAATTATAAAAAAATAATTCACATAAAAATAAGTTAAATACATCTTTGAAATGGAACTTTAATTGTAACAAAATTTTAACCTGAGATTAGTTTTATAGTAGACTCAAAGAATAAAAGCTTAGAAAAATATTTGAGACTGAGTTGTCTCACAGAACTAATTATGATGTGTGTGTCCAAAACAATAGATAAAGAATTAATAGGTTATTATCACCTCTATAAAAAATAAAAGTTATTATATATGTGAAAATGTGAAATCTCCTTACATAACATCACCATATCAACATTTGATATAAAATTATAAAAAAAAAAATTGATAGGTTATTATCACCTATATAAAAAATAAATATTTTATATTATGAGAAGTGGTAAGAAAACATAAACAGTAAGTGCAAGTAAAAAAAAATATATACACATTAAATTTGACTGTATCTTTTAATAAATGCGGTAAGAGTACTTCTAAAAATATTTAATAGTTTATTAAATACTCATAATATAAAATATTGAATGAAATGTTTTAAAAAATATTGCTATAATTATCTTCTTAACTAGGAACGAATGAGTTACGTTGAATGAATGAACCATGGTTAAGTTGAGCATCAGCATCATCTTAGCTCAGCTCTCTCTCTCTCTCTCACACACACACAAACACCCGTACGGACAAGCTGACGCGTGTCTTCTCGTCCCCCGAACAACGCGGTTTCTTTCTTTATCTTTCTCTCTCCAAAAACCCTCCAACCCACTATTTATTACCATCTTTCCAGTTACCATTTCTTCTCCCCATTTCACTTCCTTCCTTCTTCTCTTGGCTTCTCTTTATCTCTATCTATCTACCCTCTCTCTCTTACTCACACTCACACCCTTCACTTCACTTCTTAAATACTGCAATTAACTCACATAATGTTAGTTTTGTGACAAACACACAATAATCTCTTCACTTTGATCTATTACTTCTCTCTTCCCCCTTTTTTATCAATTCAAGTTTCAAACACTCTCTTCTTTTTTTTCTTTTTTGTTTCTGTTTGCAATAACGAAATGGCATCATCGGATAACATGGCGAGCATTGAGCCGTGGATGATTCGTCCATCGATGGCAGACTCGTGGCTCGCCGAGTACATAGCTCGCGACGCCGAAACCCTGACCAAGGCTTTGCAGAAATCGATTTCCGGCGAGGACGCCGTGTCTCCGTTCTACAACCTCGTCAAGCCCGACGCTGCGTCTCCGGCAACCCCCACCGTCTCCAGCCTCTCCGGCTCCGACCAGGATTCCGCGCCGAAGCGCCACCGGACCAGCGCCGCGGTTCCGCCAACCGGTAAGGTCGCGAAGCGGAAGTCGCGCGCGTCGAAGCGGTCGCAGACGACGTTCATCACGGCTGACCCGGCGAACTTCCGGCAGATGGTGCAGCAGGTCACCGGCGTGAGGTTCGGGGGCTCGCACGTGCAAATGGCGCCGGTGCTGAAGCCGGAGCCGCAAAGGGCCGCCGGAGTTGGAGCCGCTCGGTTTTCATCGGCGGGAGCGGGGTGTCTACCGACGCTGGATACGTCGGCGTATTTGCTTGACCATCACCAGCAGCAGGTTGTGGTGGGGCCCAACTCGGCGGCTGCTGGGGCTGGGTTTTCGGGCCCGGGCCCATATCCTTTGGCCCAATCCCTTGTGGCGCTGGATGCTGGTGGTTCTTTTGCTTCTGCAGGTTTAGATTATGACACTTTCTCGAGCTTTCCAACTCTGGAATCGTGGAAAGTTATGTGAAAAATTAAGAGATGAGATTATCCCCAATTTTTAACTTTTTCACTTTTTTGCCCCTCTCGTGGGTTCAGAATTGGGGTCCCAGTGATATCTGCTAGTGGAGGTTGATATGGGGATAGCCAGGATCTGTATGTAAATTTGGGAAGGGAATGGATATGGACTTAGTAGTGTACTTTTTTTTTTTCTTTCCCTTTTTCTTTGTATTTTTGTTATATAGTTTCTTTATTATTATGCGGGGTGGGGGGTGTATTGGAGATATGGTTACCTTTGAATGGTAGCTTTGTTTAGTTTAATTAACCTAATTAATGCAATCCTAAGTTTATGTATTTAACAATGTCCTATCTTTTGGTACATTGGTGCTTATTACCGTTTCTCAAGACCTTGGTTTGTGTTCCGAAACCGAAACTACCAATTTTGTCAGAAATTGCTGGGTTTTTTTTTTTTTTTTTTTGTTAATTAAATTTGAACCGAAATGGTAAAAGATTTGAGGGATCGAGAATATTAATTGAAGACATAGTGTATGACTCTCCATGTGTAGCGTGTCAACTTTGTTTTGTTGCTTTGTCCAAGTATTAGTCAATTGGTCTGAGAGAGATGGACTTGGTCTTGGATTGGGGGCTTTCGTCTGTGAAGTTTGAACGCAACTTTAGTTTTTGTCCGTGTGGTGGGTTTGGCTCAACTTGAATGGTGGAGTTGTTTTCTTGGAATTTCAGTTTTCAGCTGCATTGAAGTGTACCTTCAGATTGATAACTCTAAATCTGTGTTCTATGACTTGTTCACCCTTTTCTTCGCCAAAAAACTTGGGGGGTCCCGGGGGTGCCAAAAAGCACTTGTTTTGGGCGCGCTTTTGACGGTTCAAGTTCAGATAAAATACATTATATCTTTCACTTTCATGTAAACAATGCCTAAGCTACTGTATGGCAAGATTTGTTGTTGGGGATTTGGCCATTTTTTTTTTATGTGTGGATTTGGCCATTTATTTACACTTTGCATATTTGACAACCATGTCTATTTCTGCTTAAACATTTCCGTAGCTTTCATGTCACCGAATCCTTTAGTCAAAATCAATTTAAAAAACCAAAGCTTCTGTATCAAAATATGAATAAAAACAAATTTTACATGTTTGTGGGTCATTTGTGAGTGACATCTCTTGAGTCCCACTAATTACACCGCACTAAATCGAGTAAAGTTATTCGTTTGTTTCATCTTTGGTTGTTTCTTTTCTTTCTATACTTTTCTTTTCAAAAATTGAAAAATAAAAAAAAGGTAGAAAATGTAGGAGGACAGCTTGGGCATCAAGTCACCTTAGACTAGTTAAGTCTTGAACAGTTTATACCATGAAGTACTCTGCTGTGATGTATTTGACTAGTTTCGATTTGCTTCAGCGAACATGTCCATGTGATCACTTCATTAACAAGTACTTAAGCTTATTATTAAGCTCTAAAACATTTACCTAGTACATGTTAATCTTTTATAATATTCTGTATACAAATCTAAAACGACCAAGTCTGAGATGCGAGAGTGCTTCTTATTTTTCTTAATTTAATGGAAAGCATGCAGAGTTTACTCAAGTCAAAAGGATTAATATAAAAATCAAACATCTAATTGTGTTAGGTTGATGAATAGTCTGACTTGGGTCTTGAGATGTGTCTTAAACTATATTCTATTTAATACATCGCGGATAACCTAAGATAAGATGTCAATCCACTGAGAATATCAAATTGCATAAAATATATATTTCATTCACATAGGATATCTAGATGAAACTTGAAAGATTAATTAACTATATATTGTTTAGTAAATAAAAAAGAAAGAAAGAACAATGTATGCCAGATATTTTTTTATAAAAAATTATAAAATCAGATAAAAGATTAAATATCAATGCACACCAGGTCTTCCTTCGCTGTCTACAAGATTTTTCTTTTCCTGCACTGCACCCTTTGGATGACTTCTTCCTCTATCCCCTTTTCCTAATATCTTTCTAATATTAGTGCTTTTCCTTCTTGAATTCCAGCACTCAACTCAGAACGTGGTTTTCTCCCATTGAAGCCATTGCCTCATATTTTTTCAGAAATTTTTTTTTGCCCTTAAGCTACAATCACGGTTCTAAATCAGCCAATGAAATTCCTTCTAAATCAAGGGAAAAAAATTGAGAAATTTATGGGAATATAAAATTATATGAATGATATATTTCTAAAATTTTTTAAATGTATTCACATATTTTCTTTTGTCATGTCCTTTGTCGTATAAAATAGTTTTTCTTACATAAATAAATAAATAAAAATTATTATGCATCCAAATTCAACTGATTTTACTTCCTTTTTTTATTGGACTCAAATATACTTATGAGAATATTTGGTCAAACCAAAAAATTATATTAACTATCTAGATTTTCTCAACACTAACATTTGACTTCTGCTCGAGTTAAAGAAAAAAAAATGTTGGAGAGAGCTTCTCAACCGTTCATAGAAAAACTCACTCATTTTTTATTAAAATTTTTTAGTGTATTTTTTAGCCAATTTATTTGAGTAAATACTATTTTCGGTCCTCAGCAAATTTTACTATGTCTGCTTTAGTCCCTAGCAAATAAAAAGGCTATTCGTGGTCTCTAAGAAATTCAAAGTGGATCCATTTTAGTCCTTTTGAGAGATTAATGTGGGTCTTTTTTGAATTTGTGAGGGACCACAATTTCAACTAAATTGGTCCATTTTGAATTTCTTAGGGACCACGAATAACTTTTTTATTTGCTAGAGACTAAAGCGGGTATCGTAAAATTTGCTGAGAACCGAAAATGGTATTTATTCTTATTTTTATGCAAAAATAGATCATCTTGTAGAAGTTTTTGCAAAGCATTTTTGGTCTCCCTTATCATTGTTCAAGAAAAATCTATTACGGCCTCAAAGAATTCACCTCTTTTAATAAGTAAATAAAAAAAATTATTTTATCCATTTATAGCAATACGATTTTGTTCAGTGTTTTAAAACTCGGATCGGTCATTGACTCGATCGAAGGACTGAGTCATTGGTTCAATTGGGTTCAACCAGATTTACTGTTCACATATTAATAAAATATAATCATATTACTTATATTCAAAATTCACATAAAAAAATTATCAACGAGCTTCAAAAAATAACTTGGTTCTCAATAATAGCAAATATTATATACTTCAAGGCTTCTAGCCCTTGACCATATCCTAACATTAGATTAAATTGGAATGTAAGCTAAATGCACCTTTTGTGCCTTGAAATAACACAGATAAACTAAATCATGATAACATAATTACAAAAAAATAAAATAAAAATCATGATAAGCAAATGATAGACATAAAATATACACTAAGGAGAAAGTGTCTAACGTTGAGATGAGACCATCAGTATTTATCCCCACTTAATTTCTTAAGATCATTATACGATCAACTAAATTACATAAATGAACTGCACTAATTCAAAATACCTTCTTATTTTCACCTTGCTTTTTAATTATATTTACTATAAAATATGAGCATGATTTAATTTAAGAGTTCTTAACAATAAAAAAAAGATTTACAAAAAAGGGGTCAATCGGTCTAACCCGGGTTAACGGGTTCACCGAGTTTTGACTGGATCAATCGGTCCAAACTGAATTGACTGCTGAACCGTTTAAATGATCGTTCGAACCGAGAATCCACCGGGTCTTCGAGACCCGAATCGATCCGACTGGTCCGAACCAATTTTTAAAACTCGATTTTGGTGTTTGGTCTAACGAGTCAAGGAGGATCTAGGAAGTGAAATTGTCTCCCCCCTCAAGTTCGACAAATTTTTATTTTAAACTACATTTAGATTATTTTAAAAAATAATATAACATCAGTTCGCTTTCCTTCATATTTATTTTGACTCGTATACCAAAAATTAAAAATTCACACTATCATGTTGTCATATCTAAATCAGTGTGAATTTTATTTTTCTTGTCCTCTCTCATAAAATTTTCTCGCCCCGTTTATTAAAATTCCATAAGCAATTAATTTTGATGAGATAAAGCCAAAAAAGGCATCCTCCACATATGCATGCAACATTGTGGGTGATGTACTACCTTACTAAATTTCAAACCCTTCAAAGACGAATAATAATTGCGATGGAGGGAAGGAAACAACGACCAATGGAAGAAAAAGAGGTGACGAATGCAATAACGTAATCATATGAAAGCTACGTTTAGATGGAAAAGGAGATGCAGATGCCTTCGTCCCCCCACAGCTATCCCACTTTATCACAAAAAAATGTTTTTCGTCCAATGTGGTACAAGAGATATTATAAAGGGCAATAAAATAAGTCACGTATGAAGGTAGGATACACCCACTCATACGTTATTCCTTTCTTTTCGACCTCTCCAAATTCTTTGCACTAATCATGCTAGCCATTTTTTTGAGTTAGAGAGATCAATTGAAGATAGGGCTCATAAGTATATGATTAGGGTAGATAAGATATGGGAAATTTCTACCCCTATGTTAGATAGCAATAATTTGGCCTAAGCTACTTTGTGATTATATAGCTGTCAATTAGGTTCTATTTGTAACGGTTCTTATTAAGTTGCATGATTGATCACACATAACATCATGAAACTTGACCATCAAAAGAAGAATGGAAACAATAAGTTCTAAAACAAAGCAAGCTTACAGTCATTCTCATTAGATTTTTTCATGTGAAAAAATTATCATATGGTCATATTATTTGATCACAACCGCTCATTTAAAAATTAATATATTTTTTTCTTTCTTATCTCATCATCAATAAGTGATTATGATCAAATAATATGACCATTTTTTCACATGAGACTATGCAGTGGCGGACTCAAAATTTTTTATTTATGTCTGCACACCTAGTGGTGGGATTGCCCTGTCCCCAAAAACCTTTTTTAAATGCATTAAAAAAATAAAAGAAGATAAACAAGAAGAGAAAAGAAAATTATTCACATATATCAAGCTTTGTTATTTCAAGCTATTTCATGTACATTTCATTTTTTTTAAATACTATTTCAAGCTAGAGTAAAGTACATTTTAGGTCCTCAACAAATATCATAGGACCCAATTTAATCCCTTAGGAAAAAAAAGCGATCTGTGATTCCTCTGAAATTTAAAATAGACCTATGTTATTCTTTTTGAGGGACTAACGTGGGTCTTATTTGAATTTCAGAAGAATCACAATTTCGACTAACTGTGTCTATTTTAAATTTCAAAGGGATCACAAGTCGATTTTTTTTTTCTAATGAATTAAAATGGGCCCTGTGACTTTTGTTGAGGACCAAAAAGTACTTTACTCTTAAAGCTATTTCAAATGAATTTTTTTTTTTTTTTTGTCTGCACTTGTC